AAAACTAGGACAAATATTAAAAGTTCTATTTTGTTAGCCAAGTTTAAACTCTTCTTACAATTTAAACTCACCTTTTCTGGAAGATTTTGAGTAATGATGTCCAAATGTGACAAAACCGACAAGAATGTACAAATGCTTGTTTTAAGGTGTTCTTCACTCTGAAAAGAAATCAGGTAAAACGTCATTCAAGGCTTCTGTGCCATGTGACAGGCGGGGCCAGCAGGGGGCAGTCTCTCCCTTCACAGCTGCAGCCCAGGTGCAGAACCAAATGCCAATACACGGCAACCAGCCAACTGCGAGGCATCGCCAACTTCCTGGGAAGTGAGTGGTGGGTGAGGGTGCTCATCTGGGGGGCGGTGAGGCCTGCAGGGTGAGCACTGGCTGGAGGGGGGGAGCCAGGGAGCAGGGAGCAAACAGGCAGACAGTGAGCAAGACCAGCAGAGACAGAGGCAGGTGAAGACAGGCAGCGAGTGGCAAGGACAGGGCTCCGACGTTCAGGGGGCCTTGGCTTTGAAAACCCAGGATGAAAAGCCAGGGGAGAGCGCTGAAGTGGGTTCAGACCTTCCCCTAATGGTCACTGGGAATCACATTAATTTGTGATAAACGGACGGAAGCCACAGACGGAAGAGGCTGCAGACACTGCAGCTCCGGTGGAGGCGGCGGGGACTCAGTGTGGAGATCGGACTCTCAGGAGCCTGACTGTGACCGTGAGGGGGTGACTGCAGGAGGGGCGAGCTCGGGGGGCAGCTCCATGGACAGAGGGTGGACACAAGTGACTTTAGCAGCCGTGGGGGCATCTGGTGAAGGAAGACCGAGTAGGGCAGACTGAGAGCAGAGGCCTGCACCGTAACCCATCACGATCCTGTATCACCTCCTCAGAGATGATCCGGGACGCAGGAAATGCTGGGCGGGGGGTGGGAGGAGGGGGGTGGACGAGGGACATAAGAATGGAATAAACTGACGTCTGTTCCCAGTTGGGTGAGAGAGAGACCCTGAAGATTCTCATTAAAGCTGCTACTTCGGTGACGTCTAAAATTTACCTACTGGAAATGTCTTTAAAGTGTAAGGAGTACACTTAATTCTTCCTCGTTCTTATTTCTAAGATCAGACACCACTTGGTAAGTAAGACTGCAGCACCGACCTATTTCCCTTCCTTCTTACTAACAAAAGCCTTTCCCATCTTTATTCTGTTAGAGCAGAAGAGCTCTCAAGGTGAGCCAGGCATGCCTGTCTCTTAAACTAATTCCAAACACAACCTAGGATGTCAGCACAACTGGGCCAGGGCGACTGAGAGTCAAGCAGCAACTAATGAAAGGGAAACAATCTCCCGGCACAGGCCACATCTTTTGTTAATTTAAAAAAATGGGAAGAAATCTCCTTTACTTACACAAGAAAAACAATCCCAGAACTTTGGAAGAAACTGAGGAAATTTGTGAAGAATCAGTATAATAATCCATTCGATGTAATACTTGATGGATGCTTGGTTGTTGATGAAACCAGCCTGAAAGATCTTGTCAATGATTCTATTCAAGAAATTCTGAGAAAAATAAAATTCACAAATTAAATTGTGTTATGGTTATTAATGGTCTTAAATTTATTTTTACTGAAATATAATTAACATATAACAATGTATAAATTTAAGGGATAAAAATGTTGACTCGATGCATTGACATATCACAATACCATTACCACCGTGGCATTGACTAACAACTCTATCATATCACATAATTATTTCTTTTTTTGTGGTAGGAACAATTAAGAACTAGTCTTTTAGCAACTCTGAAACTGGTTATTAATTTTAACTTTAAAAAATGCACTAAAAAATACTGCTAAAAAAAACACAGCTTAAAGTTTCATCGATTGTAAGTAACTCTTGGATCCACCACTCTACAAACAATGGCCTTAAAAACTGCTGACAGACATAATGATGAGGTACTTTTACTGACAGTTCACGTTTTACTTGGACATCAATTCTGTGAGGAAGGTTTTTATTCTCGGTATTTTTACAGGGAAGAGAGAAGATTCAGAAAGGGTAAGTGACTGTCTCCAAGCCACACATCTGGTAAGCGGCCGGATTGAGATCAAGATGTGCCGAGATGCCCAAGTCAGCAGGCGGCAGACGGAGCCCAGCAGGAGCAGGCCGGGCCCCCATCTCCTTGGACGACTGCCCATCTGCCTGCCCCACAGCTGCCCAGTTCTTCTGGGCGAGACCCTGACCCCACAGTCCTCCCCCTCGCCCCGTCCTTCTCTTCAGAACCGCACTTCCCTCCGGGTAACTGAGCATCGCTCAGTAGCAGGTAGAAAGCATCATCTCCTTGTGTATAAGTATGTATTATGTGTATTTATTTTAAAGAAGAAGAATGTATCTTAAAGAGCAGAAAAGCTCATTTCAAGCCCCCGTGCCAGGCTGTAAAGTGGAGCGTGCGTCTGGGTTAGACCTGGTTTGGTCCCACCTTCACTGGTCACTACTTCCTAGACGACGCCACTGCGGTGTCTGCAGTATGGACAGCCCACAGCAGGCACCTCCAAGCAACCAGCTGCCGAGGATCGGGGGCTGGTGGGCTCTCTAACCAAATGGCATATGAAACTTTAAACATTACAGTATCACGTTAAAGTACTGAAAGGAAGAATCGTCACTGGGCCAGGTAAAGCAGTTTCTGGTTTATTTCCACAATCCCTAACTGCCTTTGCATTCTTGGTTAAAAAGTGTCCTGAGTGACTTCAATTTTCAGAACTGAAGTATATATAAGTGCTAAGCAGATTACTTCCTCGTTTTCAAAGAGCAACATGACAGTCTCTACTGCACAGTTTATTCACACGGAACCCTTATGCTAAAGCAGTGATTCCCAAAGTGGGCGCTACTGCCCCCCGGTGGGCGCTGCAGCGATCCAGGGGGCGGTGATGGCCACAGGTGCATTTGGGGGCGATGAGTAACTGCTATTAAAATTTTTAAAAAATTAATTTCCAGGGGCTGAGTAATATTTTTTCTGGAAAGGGGGCGGTAGGCCAAATAAGTTTGGGAACCACTGTGCTAAAGGTACAGCTGCAGGGACTACTCACCTGGTCGAAGCGGGGGAAAAGCACGAGCAGGATCTGCCACACTCGGTTTTGCACTCGGTGCTGCTGGGAGTTCACGTAGCATCGCGTCCTGGACGAGGACACCAGTGCCTCCTGGGGTGGGGAGTCAACATGGAATCACTCGCTGAATCTGTGGCTGACGAAACAACATCAACCACAGCTTCAAACTCAGCCCCAGGTCCTCCAACCGGCAGGAAGGACAAGAAGACACTTCTTTAGTTTCCTTCCACAACAATGCATTTCGTTACTTAACTCATCTGCTTTTAAAACTAGAAAGGAGTGCCCTACCAGTTTGGCTCAGTGGACAGAGCGTCGGCCTGCGGACTGAAGGGTCCCAGGTTCGGTTCCGGTCAAGGGCATGTACCTTGGTTGCGGGCACATCCCCAGTAGGAGATGTACAGGAGGCAGCTGATCGATGTTTCTCTCTCATGGATGTTTCTAAGTCTCTATCCCTCTCCCTTCCTCTCTTAAAAATAAAAATCATCATTCTCCCCTTTAAAAAAAAACAACTAGGAAGGAGCTATGTCATTGTCCAGCACACAGTCTTTGAGAAGCCTCCTTGCTCCGTTGTGGCTGGTGAAGGGGTGAGGAGACAGATACTGGACATGGTTCTCAAGGCACCAATGCCTGCACAGTCCCTCCTGCAGACAGTGCGATGCTCATTATAAATAATTGTGCAAATTCAAAAAAGTAAATTCTTCGCATTATGGCAGTTTCTAAATTTTTAGCTTTTTACTCTATTTCTTATATAAAACAACGGACGGATACATCACACTAAATGTAACTGGTTTTGACTGGTACCGGAAAACACACGGAGAGAAGGTTAGAGTACAGGAAACATTGTTCTCAAAAGCAACTTGAGTTGGACATTACTGAGATTTAACTAGAAATATGGAAGGAACATAAATCTCGGGTTTTTTGATAAAAATATTTAGAAACATTTTGTCAACAAAAAGAGCAAATACTGGATTTTGACTTGTTAACTACGTATACAAAAACAAAGATGCTTTAAAGTAACAAAAACCAAACACATTTACTTTCTCTAACAGCTTGATGGCAAGGTCTTCCATAAACGCCTTATGGGACGCATTGGAGTCATCTAACAAGCACAGGAATTTGACAGCACAAACTCTGACATAGTGGTCCTCTCTTTTGGTACTAAAAGTATGAGATGATAGTCTGTGTTAATACATGTTCAAAACATAAAAATACCTCAACTAGCTTCAAGATACCATAGCAAATGTCAAGACCTTCCCAAGTTCTCTAAAACTACGTGGGTCCACACTTAAGGACAGTGCTCTGAACTCAGGATGGACGGTGGAAGGTAATGAATGAATGGATCAATGAGTGCCTGTGCAGGAAGTCGGCACAAGCACATGGAAACCACACGCACAGCGGCCCTGGGCCAGCAATATCTTATCTGTGGACAAAACAGGTCAGAGCTCATGGAGCTATTCCTGAGTGAGGACCATGCACAGTTCTGTCCACTCAGGGGCAAGACTCCGTCTCCAATGCCGCCATGGCTCCTCCGTCCTACACCAGTGTGTTCTCTACGTGAAGGGCAAACTACATCTCAGGACTTTCAGTATCTGACTGTGGGAAGATAAAATAAGAAACTGTCGCCCAGCCGGGGTGGCTCAGTGGTTGAGCATTGACCTAGGAACCAGGTCACAGTTCGATTCCCAGTCAGGGCACATGCCCGGGTTGTGGGCTCATCTCCAGTGGGGAGCCTGCAGGAGGCGGCCCATCAGTGATTCTCATCACTGATTCTTCTATCTCTCTCTCCCTCTCCTGTCCTCTCTGAAATCAATAAAAATATATTTTAAAAAATTTAACAAACACAGAATGCTTCTCATATGATGTTAAATTGTGAATATCCCATTCATGACAAGATGTGAGAAGTCCTCATACTTACTTTTCAATAACAACATTTGCCGCACATTCATGTCCAAGATTTTCAATAAAGGTCTGTATGTCCTGAATGAGTCTTCCATAAAAAACATTTGATAAAGAACAGAAAAAAAAAAATTAAGGCCCCAAATTTAAATGAACTAAAACTTTGTATTCTGCTCATTGAAAGCCTCAAAATAAAAACAAGTCTACCTATGTAGGTACTTAATGTAAGTGAAGACAGGCTGAAATAATGACAGCTTTACCTCTGATCCCGCCTGAACACAGTTCCAAACACACACGCCTCCAGGAGCAGCTCGCTGTAATCCGCAGCGTTTGAAAAAGACGCCTGGGGCACCTCTAGAGCAGGAGCTACCCACGATCGGCAGCAGTGAGTTATCAGTGTATTGAAGACTCCGGTTTTTACAGCCGACATTTCAATCATCTGGTGCATAATCTGGAATGAAAAACAATGGTCATTGTACCCTTTGACCAAGTTAGTTGTTTTGTTTTGTTTCCAAAAAATTACTGTTGCTAGAAACTGTCTGGGAATGGCTTCCACTGGTAGTTCCCACATAAGCATGAACAGTCCAAAAAATTAAAAATTCTTTATCATTAGAACTTTGCAAGATGCTCAGCAATCAGACTACGCATTTTCATTTCTCAGTAACAAGATGTCACTGGTGGTGAATTCACCTAGAACAGTGATGGCGAACCTTTTGAGCTCGGCGTGTCAGTATTTTGAAAAACCCTAACTCTGGTGCCGTGTCACATATAGAAATTTTTTGATATTTGCAACCAGAGTAAAACAAAGACTTATATTTTTGATATTTTATATATTTAAATGCCATTTAAGAAAAATCAACCAAAAAAATGAGTTTGCGTGTCACCTCTGACACGCGTGTCATAGGTTCGCCATCACTGACCGAGAACTTTCCACGAGAAGCACCGTCCACAGAGGAAAAGGAGGGAAAAGGACCTCCCCCCACACAGTTTAGGTTTCTCTGCTTTTTGTCAGTGGCCTCCATCCCCGAGTCAGCGAAGACCTGGGGCCCACGGTGTTTGCGGGGCCAGGAAAGGGCTGAGCGGAGCGGGGACGGCAGGTCATATATTCAGGATGGTTAAGACGGGAAGTTTTATGTATTTTTTACCCCAATGAAAAGAAAGTTACCTCTTTTATTTTGAAATATGCCTGGCCCTTGGTTTTTGCAGCAATGGTAAGAACTTTGGCATCAAAAACAAACTGAACAAAAGCTTTTAAGTTGGACCAGAACACCAGCTGAGTGTTGCTTAGAGTCGATATGATTTTCCAAGCCATGTCAAAGGCCTCTATGCAGACTGACTCCGAGGAGGCCAGAAGCTGGTAGGGAAAGAAAAAGAAATACATAACCACCACGTAAGTTCAGGAACGGTATCAGCCTACAGTCATTCCCTAACCCATGGCTCACTGTCTCTACCTGGGGAACCAGCAGTTTCATGCAGCGAAACACAGGCAAAACGCGATCGGAGGGGAGGACCGTGAGGGCGGCGAGCGCAGCCTGCAGAGTCCGCGCTGGCGTCTGAAGGGCGGGCAGCACGGGGTCCAGGAGCGCGCCCTCCGAGGTGGGGGGAAGGGCGGGGTGCTTCTTCAGCAGGAAAGCGAGGCAGGCCCACTGGTCGTGGATGTACTGCGCAGCGATTCGGCCCCAGCCTGGGGAAGACGACGATTCTTCCAGAAGACTGAAACAGAGAGTCGAGTCAGTGCTGTCCTTCCTTAAGTCTGGCTCAGCTCTGTTAACTCGCTACTAGGTATCCTGTTACCGAAACACAGGAAACACACGAACCTCGACTTCTAACTTCCGTAAAGATAGGCATTCCCCCACGTCATGACGCACTGGAAACTAAACGCGGCAAGTTCATGGGTGTCCGTAACGGAGATGAACAATGTGGGACAGGAGACCGCCCTGAACGGAGCCTCCGCTCCGAGTTCCTGAAACCCGCCCAGCATCGGGGGGGCGATGCCCTGGAACAAGCATGGGTTTCCCACACGAGCAGCAGGACGCCTCGCGGACATACTGCCCTCCGAGGGGACACACCTGCTCTGCTCCTCCGGCTGCGGCTTCTGCAGCCTCTGATTGAGTGGGAGGGCGGCGAGGAGCTGCTCCGTGAGCCCAGCATCCGGAGGGTCCAGCTGCAGCTCCGGCGTCTGGTCGAGGGCCTCACACACCTCACACACCGCGGCCAAGGCAGCCATGCTGACCACCCTCTGCACCTGCCTCCCGAGCGTCGGCACCTGAGCAGGAAACGCAGTGCCCGTCACACTCCAGGAGCGTCCTGGCCGGGCAGGACCCAGGCTGCCCGACCTCGGAGATCCCCACCCCCCCTCCTGCTCCTGAGCATCAGAGGGCACAAAAGGGAACCCAGTGCCTGCCACGCGGGTTCACACTAGTCCACAGACTGGCAGCGAACAAATTCAGTGGCAGTGAAACCCGGCGGGGCAGGCGAGAAGACAACTAGCGCTCCATCTGGCAGGGGTCCCGGGAGCAGCACGCGACAGACCCCATACTGGTGTGTAGGTTAGGACCTCGGCCGTCACCTGGACCAAAAGCCCGATGGGCGAGTCGTATTTGAACTCAGGCTGAAGTGGGTCATAAGAAAGGCTCTAGGCCCCTATGTAAGCATCTCCCTCAATCAGCTGTGTGCTGCCTTTGGGGGTGACACAGCACAGCTGTCCATGCTGGGACCAGGGCGGCTGTGGACGTGCTGCTCCGAGTGCCCTCCCCCCCGCACAGGGAGCAGTTGCAGAGCCCACTTCCAGGGCTCCTGGGACACTAGCGAGTGGGGTGTTTCATGTGAGACACTTGGAACTCTACACGGAGGAGCAGGAGGAGGAAAGGAAGACGTCCAGCAACTGCGGTGTCTGAGGCACAGAGACGTTAAGTGATTTCCCCAAGGGCACACAGCAGCCGGGATAAAGCCAGGATTCACGCCCAGAAAGTCTACACTCCAAGGCCTGTGCTCGTACCCACTCCGCCTTATTCTCATGTTTAAGGAATGCCTCCAGGTATGAGACCTGGTGGAGACAGACATCAATCACCCCAAAAGCAAGTGGATGAAATGAACACCACGAGGCACAAGGAGCACCAGGAATGAAGCGAGGGTGAGGCACTGACCAAGAAGGCCTCTGGGAAAATGTGGTCCGAGTTGGGCCATAAAGGCTGCTGACAGGTGCGCACTGAGGGAGGGCTCTCTCCGGGACGGACCGACGACAGAACATGCGCCTGTGGCCCGTGAACGCCACCTGGCGGCCTGGAGTCCGCGGCAGAGGGAGGCGGCGAGGAGAGAAAGCCGGGCTGCAGCTCGCGGACACAGTGCCCTTCCTGAGCATGAGCAAGGGCCCCCCGGACCTGAGTGGTGTGAAGACTGCTGTCGCCACTTTCCTAGGCACCTGACATGAGGGGAACCCTATCCTCCTCAATTACTACAGACAAAGGGAATGATTTTAAAGTCAAGTTTCAGCAGATGCGTTTTAGGATCAACCTGTATTCCACGTAAGCCTTCCCCGCAGAACTACAAGATTACCAGCCCACTGTCCGTGTCCTGCAGGTGCCGGATGGATGCGTTCCTCAAAGGAGCAATGATTCTCAGGACGGGGCTGCCTCGCTCCCCCCGCTTCCCAGGGAGGCCCGCCAGCTCAGCGAAGACCTGCAGGTACAGGTGGCAGCGATCCAGGTCTGCGACCTACGACAGACAGTAACACATCAACCAGCAGGGCCCACGACTGTCACACACGACGAGGTCAGACAGGAAGTGGTGGGTGTGAGCACTCACACACATGCTGAGAGTCATCCCCAGGGCCTTCCTTCCACGCTGTCCCCACGCAGCCAGGCCCTCCTTCTCGGAGAGCCCGCGGGGGACCCGCCCTGCTGCACAGCCACCTCAACCAACCACCCGCTGAACGGGCTGTTCCGGGGAAAGCAGAAGCAGCTTCCCCCGGCCTTCTCCAAGCCCCGAGAAGGGAGGGGGCATGGACCCGGGCAGAACAAGGGCTCAGTCCCGTTGGACCTCCCGCCCGCTCTGTGACCTCTGTCAGCTCCTCAGGCCGAGCTCCTGTCCACACAGTGGGGAGGGTCACGTGTGCCCACCCCAGGGATTTTGAGAACAGAGAGAGCATGCTGAACGGACGGCACCGCATGGCGATGATTAGGCCGTAGTTATCACTGTGCCCTGCGGGGCCTTCTCTGGCACGGAGGAAGCAGAGGCTTCAGTAACCTCATCGGGTCTCACTGAGCACCACTCATGCAGGCACTGTGCCGGTGCGGGAGGTGCTGGGGTTCTAGCAGCTGGTGGGTGACAGTGCATGTAGTGAGAGGGGGGCCTGGGGAAGCTCCTGGAGAGCCGATGGGGCCGCTGCGAACACCTGAGAGGCAGGTTCGAGGCTGGGTCAGGGCACACGCCCAGGTTGTCACTGTGGAACTAATGGACGCGATGAGACAGAACCACTCTGTGGACGATCCTAACACCCAGCACCTCCCAGGCGGGGTGTGAGCAGGAGGGAGCTGCACGGTGTTTCTCTCCCTCCCTCCGTCTCTCTAAAATAATAAAAATTAACATAAAACAAGAAGGAAAGTCACCCCATGAACACTCACACTGCTCAGTTCGTTCATAGTGAGTCTCCTGAGCAGGAAGCTGGAGATGCTCTCTGCGGCGGACACGACCAAGTCCTGAAGGAGGGGAGACACCTCATCTGTGTGGGGAGAAGTGCAACTAAATGGCAGAGATCAGCTGTTTGGTACAAGACACCGCAGTCTAGTAAAGAACAACTACGGTAAGCACGCGGGTGAGCCACTGACCAAAAGCGGATTCTAAGAATGTTACGGTCACCTCACGTGGGGGGCCTGGAACTGACCCTGGAGCCCTCTGGGGGTTCCGGTCCGACAGGCGGCATTCGGTTCTGCTGCCGTCACCCAAAATACCAGAACTCTGAACCGAGCTCTCCTATCCCATAAGCATATATTAAAACTAACCTCATCGACACTATCCTCAGGTTTTACCTAAAACCAATGTTTCTCTAGAATTTTTAAAACTTTAAATTTCTTCAATCCAAACGAAAGCGGTCGGAAAGGACTGGGAAGCCAGGGTTACGCTCACATGCTCCTCACTAGTGCCCACGGCTTCCTGCTGATGCGCACACATCGTGGCCTAAGGACGGAAGTAAGAGCTCAAGGCTTCCATCTGCTACTGTGATACTTCCTATAGGAAGGATTTTCTGCTTAAAGGCGCTCAGAGATGAACATACTTAAAAACATATAAAATAGGGATCATTGTCAAGGGTCTAAAAATCAAGGAACAAATTTTTTTAAAAACAGAAGCAAATGAATCCCATTCTAAAGTCAACAGTACCCAGCAGATGTCCACACCGCAGTGTCAGCCCCGGGGGAAGCTTGGCCCCTTGCCGCACCCGCCCCGTAGGGGAGACCAGGTCAGGATCTCCGCTTATTCTAAACACCCACAAGGTACCGAGCGAGCTCAGAGACCGGCCTCACCATCGCGGGCGCCGGCGCCCTTCGGCGAGCACGTGCGCAGCAGCGTCACCAGCGCCTGCAGGCACCTGTCCGTCTTCCGCAGGGGCAGGTAGGCGTTCGAACCCAACCTGGCGAGGGCGTCCAGGAGGGGCTCTAGGAACAGCCTCAGCACGTTCTGTGTCCTCTGCTTCTCACTGGACATTGAGAAACATCAAGAATTTCAAAAGCATAAAGAAACCATCTCCCTGTCGTTAGTGGAGCTGATGGACTCAGTGGGGCAGAGCCACCCCTGTGGCGAGCCCAACACCAGCGCCTCTGGACTGACCTCTCCCGACCTGCTCGCGGAGCCCGGGTCTGTCCTTCCCGGGAGGGCAGCGAGGCACCAGGGGGAAAGCTCAGGAAGAACCAATGTGCTCGCTCCGGGCACAAGTAGGAAGCAAAGTTCTATCTGCAAAGTAAAATGCAGAGGCCCTGCCTCCCAATCAAAAACACAAATGCTAGTCGAGGCGAGGAGACGAGACATGTTAAAGATATAGGTATACATATACATATACATATACATACACATATACATATACAGTGTGTGTGTGTTTATCCTATATAAGCCCAGTGACCAAGCGGCGGAATGACCAGAACGACTGGTCTACCAGTCGCTATGATGTGCACTGACCACCAGG